GAAACCGTAAGTCATTGGTATTTTTGGTTAATATAGATGTATAGCAACCTGGTGAGTCTTTTACCCAAGAAGAAAGATACATAAAAGACTTATTTCAATCAACCTGGAAATAACACACAGAAAAGCAAATTTACTCCAGCAACCTAAAAAGTTTCCAAGTGTATGTATCAGCATTATGCAGTAGGTGGTATCACCCCCAAGGAGCCTATGAGCCTCTGTGATGTAATCCTCACCTTGCACTACTATGGCCCCCACCTTTATCAGCTTCCTTGAAGACAATATCACGTCTACCACATATATCTTTAATAGCCTTCTTTTCATGTAGACTCAAATTGCTGTAAGAACATCTTTTAATTTTATATGTTGTTTTTTATATATTTGCTGGTAACATAAGTTTGGATTATCACTCATAGCAATAGGCGTTTTAATACAATTCTGTCTCATTTTTACGATACACCATGATTCTCTATATGATCTTATGGATGTCTCTAATTTAATTTCTTTATTTGATTTTCAAATGTACAATTTATTATGGACTGCTGAGGTGGTGAATGTTGTTTTGGACACAGTATGATATATCTGATTAAGTCAGCATGCATACATGACTTTTGGGTCGCTGATATGAACTGTGGCCTTTGTGGCCATATTCTTGGTTTCCGATACTATGACTCAAATCAAACATTCTGCCTGTTGTAGGTTGTGCAAAAGATTAGTAATGTTAAAAAGATTATACAATTATCAAAATTAAAAAAAACAGTATTTTCCATAAACAATAAAAGTACAATATTTAAAAAACAGTAAAAAGACAGTTCAAAAGAAAAGTTCAAAGTATGAGGTATAGTAGATAATATAGTCAGGACCTTAATTTATTGTCCAGACTATATTATCTACTATACCTCATACTTTGGACTTTTATATTGTCTTTTTTACTGTCTTTTAAATATTAGACTTTTATTGTTTCTGATAAATACTGTTTTTTACTTGTTTCCAATTTTGATAATTTTATCATCTTTTTAACATTACTAATCTGTGACTCAACCTGTTTCTGTTTTATTGTGTACATTCCTGTATTTGGGGGTATGTGAGGGAGCCTAAATTTTTAGGTTTTGCTGCCTGCATTTATATATTTTCTGGTCGGTCACTTAGCGCTGATCCATTTATTGCTTGTCCATTTTGCCTGTTGTACTTACAAATTGCCAACCGGAAGATGGCCCTAAGAGAAATGAACATCCTTCCAGATATCGAGACTTGGTCCCTGATGTCTAGTTTAGGTTTTGGTACATCTTTTTGGTTGAATTTACATGCTGGACAAGGAAAAAGGTGACTAACAGGAAACACATGTAGGAACTTATCAGCCCTGACTGGAGGAGCTTAAAGGTGGAAGTAAGAACACTGGGGATATGCTTTACCTTGAGAAAGTGGACGAAACCGGTCGGTATTAAGGTGCACCATGGAACTTTTCTAATTTTTATTAAGCATTGAACACTTTCAAGGAGAAGATTTCTACACACCTGGAGGGATCCTGACTCAGAAATAGAGAGTGGATTGAGCCTTTTTCAAGTGTCGAAGGATACCTGCTGGCTACTTATTTAGTCTTTTTAGACAACACCAGGTATGGGATTTAAGATAGATATACTTCTAGTAATACTTATCTTCAGGCAGCATTTAATGCTTCATGTTAGTATGTTGCTAGTTAGCATTGCAGACCTATATTGACCATAAAATGTTGGGAAATTGACAGGTGCAGTGCAGCAATATCTTTGATGAATGCTAAGAGCTTTGAACAATTGTTAAGGTGAGTATCCCTAAACACGCAAGCTTAGGGCAAACAGTTCAAGAAAAACATATTACTCATTAGAAAAAAAAAATTAAAAAAATCACATGATAAACGATAAGCAGAGCCAAATTCTCACCATTCATAAATAAGACACTCAGTTAATAATGAACAAAGACCATGAATGGGCAAGTAACCAACTGAGTCATGGTTTTAAATAGCCCTGGTAACTTGGAAGGAAAACGAAAGAAGAAAAAAAAAAGTTAGTATTCATTGGAAAAAAATAAAAATCACATAGAGGCCATAATGTCAAGGTCAATGTTTAGCCCCTTCTGAGCATAAGTTTTCAGTTTATATATGCCCATAGTTTCCCGTTGACATAGCTTCTTTGTCATATTCCCTTTTCTTACATCCGCCTTTACCACATCTATCCCTATGCATAAAAAGCTATTAAAATATGTGCAACCATTGCAGTGAATAGGGGCACTATGTTTAACGTCCTTCTTAGCAATGGCTCGTATATGTTTTGAAAAACGTTCCATAAGTGTCCTAATGGTTCACCCCACATATTGCGCCCTGCAAGGGCATTGGAGTAGATAAATTACATACTTGGCTGAACAATTGATAAAGTGCTTGATTTAACATATTTTCCTAGTGCTAGTGCTTGTGAATTATTTAATAGATCTAAAAAGAAATCTGCACACTTTACAATGGCCACATTCATGAAAACCTTTGGGTTTAGAAAACAGTCTCGAAAAATTCCTCATAATGGGGAGTAAAGGGCTAGATGCTAAAAAAGATTTAAAATTCTTTGCCTTGATAAAAATTACCTTAGGTAAAACTTGCTTCAATGTGTCATCTTGAAACAGTACAGGCCAACATTTAGAAAGTGCCTTTTGGATTAGTTTAGATTTCCAATTAAATTGTGTTTTACAAGCCAAATTGAAATCACAGTGGGTATCCTTTGTTATCCTTTTTTCTCTTATTGTGATATTTTTTCTCTGCTGTCGTATTATATTCCTGGTATCATTTAAAAGTGCTTTTGGGTAATGTCCATCTAAAAATCTCTTTTCTAAAATTCTGATTTGAGAATCAAAATCTCCCTCTTCTGTACAATTCCTATTTATGTGCATATATTGCCCTTTTGAGATGTTTGTCAACCACTGACGATGATGAAAACTATTAAAATCTATATAGCTATACTTGCCAACTGGTTTAAAAAAGTCTTATTACAAATGGGATTACCCTGAATAGAAAATGTAATATCCAGAATGCTAATACTTTTAGTCTGGATTTTTTGGTACAAACTTTAAATCTAAATCATTAGCAATAATATAAGTAATAAAAGATGCAAATGGGCCCCATCTCAAATGATGATAACATCATCAATGTATAATTTCCAAAGCACCAGGTTAAACTTCCAGTCATGCTCAACCCAAATGTATGGGTATGGGTATCCTAGATGGGTATTTTCCTATACTGCAATGAAAATATTGGCATAACTGGGCTCCACGGATCTGGTGCCCATAGCTGTACCACAAATCTACACATAAAATGTGTTTTGAATATAAAATAATTATGGGTCAACATTCTAAAACAAAAGTGCCTTATTTGCCATCATCATCTTCATCTTTTCAATCTTCATCTTGCTGTAACACCGTTTTAATGGCTCTCAGTCCCTTATTATGATCTATAACCATGTACAAGGATGATACATCCACCGCAGCCCACGTATATGAATCCTTTCAACCAATGTCCTCCATAATATTTAATATGTGACCGGTATCCTTTATGTATGATCTGGTTAAAGAGACATATTTCTGGAGATAGCAGTCCACATATTGGGACAAGTTGGCAGTGAGACTGCCAACACCACTGATAACATATCTGCCAGGTGGTTTCTCCAAAGACTTTGGTAGATAGTAAAATATTGCTAATTTTGGCTGTGCATCATATAAAACATTCAAAATCATCTTTAGTTAAAATGCTCAAATCCGTGCCCTCACTAAGCAACTGTAGAATATTGCATATTCCATGTTTCTATTGATTATTTATGGTTGTTTGCATTGACATAAGTAACAGATGGTATCACAGTCACAAGGCTTTCTTTGTCTGAGAACTCTGGAATGTGGTAATTGAGGGTCTTGTCCTTATATGGCTAGAGTTATGACGTCATTATGGTCCTATCTATATAGAATAGTGGACAAAGGACCACAAGGGCTTGCTGTTGCTTGCTGCACGAGGTTGTTCTTGTTCTTATCCTGCTGTCCTTTAACTATGTTGAATCTAACTCTCCCTTCAGGAATCCAGCAATAACCATCTGCTGTTGAACATCCATTATCCTGTAACATCCTTTGTTGTTTTATTATGTATTCATAACTCTAAGAATAAACCTGAAGAAACCGTAAGTCATTGGTATTTTTGGTTAATATAGATGTATAGCAACCTGGTGAGTCTTTTACCCAAGAAGAAAGATACATAAAAGACTTATTTCAATCAACCTGGAAATAACACACAGAAAAGCAAATTTATTCCAGCAACCTAAAAAGTTTCCAAGTGTATGTATCAGCATTATGCAGTAGGTGGTATCACCCCCAAGGAGCCTATGAGCCTCTGTGATGTAATCCTCACCTTGCACTACTATGGCCCCCACCTTTATCAGCTTCCTTGAAGACAATATCACGTCTACCACATATATCTTTAATAGCCTTCTTTTCATGTAGACTCAAATTGCTGTAAGAACATCTTTTAATTTTATATGTTGTTTTTTATATATTTGCTGGTAACATAAGTTTGGATTATCACTCATAGCAATAGGCGTTTTAATACAATTCTGTCTCATTTTTACGATACACCATGATTCTCTATATGATCTTATGGATGTCTCTAATTTAATTTCTTTATTTGATTTTCAAATGTACAATTTATTATGGACTGCTGAGGTGGTGAATGTTGTTTTGGACACAGTATGATATATCTGATTAAGTCAGCATGCATACATGACTTTTGGGTCGCTGATATGAACTGTGGCCTTTGTGGCCATATTCTTGGTTTCCGATACTATGACTCAAATCAAACATTCTGCCTGTTGTAGGTTGTGCAAAAGATTAGTAATGTTAAAAAGATTATACAATTATCAAAATTAAAAAAAACAGTATTTTCCATAAACAATAAAAGTACAATATTTAAAAAACAGTAAAAAGACAGTTCAAAAGAAAAGTTCAAAGTATGAGGTATAGTAGATAATATAGTCAGGACCTTAATTTATTGTCCAGACTATATTATCTACTATACCTCATACTTTGGACTTTTATATTGTCTTTTTTACTGTCTTTTAAATATTAGACTTTTATTGTTTCTGATAAATACTGTTTTTTACTTGTTTCCAATTTTGATAATTTTATCATCTTTTTAACATTACTAATCTGTGACTCAACCTGTTTCTGTTTTATTGTGTACATTCCTGTATTTGGGGGTATGTGAGGGAGCCTAAATTTTTAGGTTTTGCTGCCTGCATTTATATATTTTCTGGTCGGTCACTTAGCGCTGATCCATTTATTGCTTGTCCATTTTGCCTGTTGTACTTACAAATTGCCAACCGGAAGATGGCCCTAAGAGAAATGAACATCCTTCCAGATATCGAGACTTGGTCCCTGATGTCTAGTTTAGGTTTTGGTACATCTTTTTGGTTGAATTTACATGCTGGACAAGGAAAAAGGTGACTAACAGGAAACACATGTAGGAACTTATCAGCCCTGACTGGAGGAGCTTAAAGGTGGAAGTAAGAACACTGGGGATATGCTTTACCTTGAGAAAGTGGACGAAACCGGTCGGTATTAAGGTGCACCATGGAACTTTTCTAATTTTTATTAAGCATTGAACACTTTCAAGGAGAAGATTTCTACACACCTGGAGGGATCCTGACTCAGAAATAGAGAGTGGATTGAGCCTTTTTCAAGTGTCGAAGGATACCTGCTGGCTACTTATTTAGTCTTTTTAGACAACACCAGGTATGGGATTTAAGATAGATATACTTCTAGTAATACTTATCTTCAGGCAGCATTTAATGCTTCATGTTAGTATGTTGCTAGTTAGCATTGCAGACCTATATTGACCATAAAATGTTGGGAAATTGACAGGTGCAGTGCAGCAATATCTTTGATGAATGCTAAGAGCTTTGAACAATTGTTAAGGTGAGTATCCCTAAACACGCAAGCTTAGGGCAAACAGTTCAAGAAAAACATATTACTCATTAGAAAAAAAAAATTAAAAAAATCACATGATAAACGATAAGCAGAGCCAAATTCTCACCATTCATAAATAAGACACTCAGTTAATAATGAACAAAGACCATGAATGGGCAAGTAACCAACTGAGTCATGGTTTTAAATAGCCCTGGTATTAACACCATTGGTTAATGTCGGAATCTAATACTTAAATGACACTCAACTTCCAGAGAGAGGGGGATTCATGATTCACAACAAAGAGGCAGTCCTTAATATAACATATTCATACATAACATATGATGATTGCAAATTTGACTTGTTTTCATAGATAGTTTGTAATGGTAGTAAAATATCGAGGTGCAGAACAAGGACATGACTTAAGACCAACCCAAAATATGAACCCTAAGGCAAAATTAGGCAACTTCAGGAAACCATATTTATTCTTGACCACAAATCCAGATAAAGCATAACTGGTCCATGTGTGTTTTGCTAGCAAAAATGCTGCATCATGTATGATGTGCAGAGTTAGATTTTTTTATTGCTTAGACACTACACTCCTTTTTATGAAATAGGGAGTGAGTCAAAGTTCCTACAAATTATAAAATGTGGCATGATTCAAAAAAAGAGTTTAAAGAGTAAATGTGTATTTAGTGTACAAGGACAATTAGTACAATACTTATGGGCTTACCCTTGGAGTAACACCTCTAACAGTGATGGCTAACCTTGACACCATAAACTGTTTCTGGACTACATTTCCCATGATGCTCAGCTAGCTTTTAGAGTCTAAAAGCTAGCTGAGCATCATGAGAAATGTAGTCCAGAAACAATTTATGGTGTCAAGATTAGCCATCACTGATCTATAACATGAAAAAGTTACATGAAAGTTAAAATTCTGTGCGCCTTACATAAACCTTTTAAAGGGACACTTTGGGCACCCAGACCACTTCATCACATTGACGTTATCTGGGTGCAGTGTCCCTGTCTCCTTATTCCTACCATGTAAAACTTTGCAGGGTTAAGACTTCCTCTAGAGGTTGTCTACCAGATAGCCACTAGAGGTGCTTCCTGCAGTTAAACAAAGTTTGACTCCATGAAACAATATTGGATGTCTTGACGCTATGCATGAGGACGTCTAGCATCTTTAAAATCCCCCATGTGAAAGCATTGATTCAATGATTTCCTATGGGGAAGGCCTAATGTGGGTGCGTCATGCTCATGTGAGTTTGGTTCCCAAATCGCTGTGATGTTGGTAGAGCCCACCTCAGAACTGAAAGACAGCAGCATTAAAATCAGATAAGTGAAAAAGGGGTTTTTATCATTTATTTTTTTGCTAGGAGGGGGTGGGGGGCAGAGGGAACATATAGTGTTAGGAATAGCTAAGGCTATGAAAATAAAGGCTATGGTTATACTTTATCTTTTGAACAAAGAATATTTTGCAATCTATTCATTGTCAAATCAGTAAGAACACAATATATATTTTGAAATGCAAAGAAAATATTTGTCGACAACAAAATTTTGCAGATGGAATGTAGAGGGTGACCATCATCCCAGCTAACAAGAATGTAACATCACAAAGTAAACAACACTCTTTCTATGGGGTCATTCTGCTGCCAAACACACAATGACCTTCACAAGTCTGCAATACGATTATACATTCTTGGATACACAATAATCATCTATAAATGCAGAGGGCCTGGGTGTAGCACACCATAAACCCCAGCCACAGATTTGAGAAATCTTCAACATTACTTTGATTATAACTCTTTAGTTTATCTGGCTTCTTTTGGCATACAAAACACAAATTAATTTTTAAAGCTGGATATAATATTTAAATCCGACCAAGACAAAAAAGTCTTAAAGTGATACTAGAACCAAATGACCAATAAGTCTCGTTACAGGCTTGTTCATGATCATTTGTGCCTTAATTTACATGTTACAAGATACAACATAAGCTTAACCCTTTGTACCACTATGTTAATCATCATTTTTTTTTAATATTTAATAATTATATATATATTTTTGCAATATATTTTTCCAGCCAAGTTCTCCTAATTCCACACTTTTATTAAAAATAAATAAATAAAATTACATAACCTAAAAAATGATTTATTTCATCAAAAGTTCCCTATGATGTATATGCACCATGAGTTTAAGATGGAAATGCTTATTTTATGTTATTGTTATTTACAGTGAGAACACAATATATTGGCATGGAGAAAAAGTATGGGTCTTGACCCAGGAGCTTTTAACTGCTGAAGTAAACAGTTAAATTTCAATGGCAATTCGTCAGTGAGTTGTGGTTAATACCATGGTTACATGTCCTATGCAAGAAGGATTGTCATACATTTAAGGGGGAGAGTTTTGAATTTATATTTGAATTAAAAGTATGCACACGCATACTGCCATAATGTATATTGCAAGATTTATCATGAGGCCCAGCTAGTTGTAGTTGATGCAGGTATTTCATACAATATTCATCATTTTAGCAGAGTCAAATTAACTTAGTTGAAGCTACGGGCTCACACAATGCAATAGGCCCAGACAGTCAGACAGCATATTTTTGTGATCTGCTGCTTTTCTTACTTTACTCCATAGTCAGTCACTGTCCTCGTGCTATTGCATGGCTGGACAGGGACAAAAATTTGGTCCAGGCATTTAAAGGCATAGCAGCCTTACAGGAGAGGCAAGGCCAGAGAGGGTGTGTTGTGTTATCACCAAGACAATGGGCACAACTCCTCAAACAGGGTATTTCAGTTTTATGCCCCTCAGGGCAGTCCATGCACAGAGTCCGGCAAAAGCGTTCTTGCATGGGGAAAGGTCTCTGTGTTAATTAAACGCAGCACAAGCAAATTTAATTAAATGCTTGTTCTACATTTGGTTGTGATTTATCTCAGGTGTCCTAATAACTGGAATACCAGAGGACAAAAGTGGGGCAGGGTCAAAGGAGAGTGCTGTGTGTGTGTGTGTAGGCTGCCTGGGGTATTGTATGGGAATGTAGACTGCTTGTGAGGTTGTGTGTGTGTGGTGGATTGCATGGGAAAGCTGCAAAATCTTTTATTTTTTTAAGCAAAAATAAAGAGATATGAACAGGGAGAAAAACAGAGAATGAGTGAGGCTTAAAGAGATACTATAGATACAAAAGCAACTTTAGCTTAATTGAGCAGTTTTGGTGTATAGATCATGCCCCTACACTCTCACTATTATATCACTTTGTCTATGCAGCCCTAGTCACATCTCCTTGCATGTGATTTAAACGACCTTCATAAACACTTCCAGTTAAAGGACCACTTTACATACTCGTTTTCCTGGCACTATAGTGCCCTGAGGGTGCCCCCACCCTCAGGGACCCCCTCCCGCCCGGCTCTGGAAGGGGAAAAGGGGTAAAAACGTACCTTTTTCCAGCGCTGGGCGGGGAGCTCTCCTCCTTCTCTCCTCCTCCGTTCCTCCTCCTGGGCTGAATGCGCACGCGCGGCAAGAGCTGCGCGCGCATTCAGCCCGTCGCATAGGAAAGCATTTACAATGCTTTCCTATGGACGCTTGCGTGCTCTCACTGTGAAAATCACAGTGAGAAGCACGCAAGCGCCTCTAGTGGCTGTCAATGAGACAGCCACTAGAGGAAATAGGGGAAGGCTTAACCCATTCATAAACATAGCAGTTTCTCTACTGCCATTGGGTACCACTGTAACCCTACTGTAAGTAAATGAGGGTATTGGGGGTGTAAATCAATGTGCTGTTCTCTATAAAGGTTATTGTTGTTCTCTCCTTCACTAAGGGTCATCTAGTGCTTGTGGAGGTGCTCCTTACAGAAGCATTTCTTCCAATCTGAGAGGACTTCAGTGGAGAAACCTGCTTGAAGTACAATTACAATATTAAAATATTTTTCAAAATATTAAATCATTTTAAAATAGTATTAAAAATATTATATCATTTGAAAAATGTAACCAAAATATTAAATTGAGGCAACTATTGTTACTCCTGCATGCATTTGCACAGCTGTATACACTCACTATCTTCACAGATTCAATCACAATACATTACAAGAATAAAGATGAACATATATACATATGCAGTTTTC